CCTTTGTATTATTAGTGACAATGTAGTACAATAGCATCTATGTAATGTTGATTATCCGTATTAGTGACAATGAAGTATAATAGAAACATGCAATATTGATTATCCTCATCGAGAAACTTCGATAACTTTTGTACTTATATGATATTCCTTTCACACGTTAAACATATATGGGAGGTTCAAATAGAAACAAAAACATTAAACGTATAATGCAACAAGAAATTGTAGGCCACCACAAGCCATGATCAAATTTTGAATGATCCATCTCTTTTACTCATATATAAGAAACATTTTTCGCATCATTTTTTTTTCATCTCAAGTGCGAAAATGGGTTAGAATTTCTTGGTTAAGACTTTATTTTCTAAAATTTTGCAATATATATGTCTATATTTCCAGGAGACCCAGGGTAAGAGCCAAATATTAGTTGTGTTCTTATATTAAATTACTGTTTTAACAAACAGTCACGTTCACCATAACAATTTCGAAAAGAAACTCAAATTTATGAAATATTTACAAAACTAGCTATTATATATTTATAACTATATTTTATCATATAACCTTTTTGGCAAAACTTCAGTGAAGGTTGCTGATGTATTGGCCAAATATTATATGGGTTCTTAATATTTAGAAGTTATCAATAGAGATTCCTAACGACACTTCTGTCACCAGCCAAGGTTTTTTTTATAAACTTTTGTTAATTATTGCTGACGTGACGATGATGTGGCCCTACCACATCTGCAAAAAAAACAGTGAAATTATAATTCCAATACAATTAGATATTGGTCAAATTACAAGTTTATATTGAATTTGAACTTTCACTAAAGTTTTCGTTGGCATAGCAAGGCCACGTCAGCAAAATTTAACAGAACTTTGTAAAAAGGGCCTAAGATGATGATAGAGGAAACGTTAGAGACCCTAATGATGACTTCCAAACATTGAGAATCCAAATGATATTTGGTTGATACATCAGGACGTCGGATCCTGCACTGAGCTTTTGCCTAAACTTTCATAAATAATAAATAATGTTAGTGTGCGAAATTATCTCCTTTCGCGTTCTTGCCCGTGTCACCCCCAACTAGCAACATCCTATATCAATTTTAACGAGGAATGCAAAAATCTCGGATAGGCCCATATAGCAAATCCTACATGAAACAACCATATAACGCACACAAAACCCCCCGTGGAGCGACATATGAAACCGTTCACACGCCATTAGCAATTTATCATGGCCATCTTATTAGTAAATGGGCTTGCTTTAGCAGTTGAAGCCCCATGCTTGCATGTAGTAGAGTCCCCACCAAAATATATCACGGTCAACCAGACAAAAGTCACAGAAAGAGGGGAAGCCGACACTGCCGCGCAATAACACAGTTGGAGTCTACAACACTCAAAAGTAGTGCAACTTCACACTTTTTGTGGAAGAGGCCGTGAATGATGTTTCTTTTTTGGCTTTAACATCAGTACGTTATCGAGAAAACGTTTCAACCCCCCCACCAGCTTTTAACCAAAATTTGGCGCCTTGTTCGTGGATCGTTTTTCCACTGTGAACGGAGATATTCAAATCCACTAATTCAGGGAGGGAGGGGGGAGAAAAAAGGGTTTTGACTTGACTATGAAACTAGCAAGAACTGGCTGGAGCAGCAAAGGCGAAATTTGTGGATCGAAAGCAGGAACTTTATCCACCGGCCAATGCGAAAGCTACAGCTATACATTAAATCAACTCACCTCCGTAACTCATTGGTGATTTCGAATTTCCCAGGAACAAATATTGGCCTTCGTTACATACTTTCCTTGTTAGGAATTTTGGGGAAGGTAAAGTAGACGTGAAATGGAGAAGATAAAACTATCAAAAAAAAAAAGGAATGCTGATACACAAAGAAGCAGCTTCCGATGAAGATGTATACACAAAATCAGCAAATATGCGAATATACTGATCCCAACAATCCCCTATTATCTAACGCATAACCGTTTTTACCAAAACACGCTTAGTACTTCAACAAAGAACATAAAAGTGCCACTTGCACAAGTTAAGGACATAAACATGCAATTTCAACAATAAAATGCCACATTGCCAGGCAGGACTAGAGAATACTATTTGCTCAAATGTCTGGTACCTTTGCTTTCTCTTGAAGAAGATCCAAAACTAAAATTGGAGGAGGGGGGAAAAATCGGAAACTAGAAACAATATCAGATGACTTCCATGCTTGCCCCATATGATGAATACAATTCCCAAGTTTGAGATCTACTCTAACCGAATCCCGGTTCTAATAATCACAAACACCACATGCTTAAAAAGTAAATTTATATTAGGATAATCCCAATTTTAAAGCAAAAGATGCTACAAACCTTTGTACAAACTAATAAGTAAACTTTACAATCATAAACATACTTCATCTAGCAATCAGAGAATCACAAGGTAGAGACTAACTGACGATGAAGCATGAAACATTGTGAGACATTCATTCACAACCTCATAATATTGGAAGTAAAGCATGTATGCTACTATTTATCCCTACTACAAAGACAAAAGACACCTTGCCTGCAGCTCAAGAGGAGGCCATCTTATTGTTAATAGGCAGCTCAAACCCGGTACTTTGACACTCAATTACATACAATCTCTTCAAACTTATACTTATGGCGAAGGCAAGGGAAAGTGAGAGTTACAAAAGAAAAGAATGTGATAAAAATAAAAGAATGCAGTTATGCTTTAAGCACAACCTTTTCTACCTCCCTATTTCGCTAGTATTTCAATCATACACTTTCTCTAGCATTTCAACGGTACATGAAGCAGCAGCTTTGAGAAATACACAGAATCAACAGTGAGACACTAAACACTGACTGAGAACAATCGCCTCCTAGTGTGTGTCAATTTAGCAAAACCTGTTTATCATTCACAAAGAAAAAAACAAGGTGTCGTCCCAGTTAACAGATAATGCAATCTCTCTCTCTAACAAATAAAGGATAACAAAAAAAACATATTTTCCACTGTGTTCTCTATCAACTACATTTATCATAATAGATAAAAATAAATTTATTCATGGATTAATTATATAAATAAAAGATAGTAAAATTAGTGATTTTGAGGTAAAAACTGAAATCTAACCAGAGTTGCTTCTTCATAAAACCAAACTTGCATGGTTAAAATTTGATTGAAAGTACCAATATTTATCACAGAAGAAATTGAGACACTGAAAAGTATTGACAATGTATGATTAAGACACATATATTAGAGTATTATCCATGTACTAAAATTTTAGTTCCTAGTTAATGTCAAACTTCAGCACGTCACTTGCATTTTTATTTATTTTCTTTTAATTTTTATAAAAATAGGTGGGATTAGATTAAGCTTTAAAAATGGATTTATTGAAATTCGAAATTAATGGATCCTATTTTATTATTTAGTAAAATTATTTATTGATGTGAATCTCCGAGTCTATTCTATGGGTGGTTATGGGCAATTGTAAACTTGCTACTAGGGGTGTTAAATAGTTCAGATATATCCGAACCGACCGCAATCGTTTCCGATAATGATGCAGATACGGTAGCTAAAATCCGAAACTGACCGGATACAATCTCGGATTTGGATACGGTAGCTAAAATCCAAAACTGACCGGATACAGTCTCGGTTTTGGATATGATTTTCCCTTTTTACTCGGATATGGCTCCGTATATGGTAATCAGGTTCAACTAACGGATACGGTTCGGACATCCGAATGTTCATTTTTAGAAAAAATTTGAATAACAATATAATGCACCTGCCAGGATTCAAACCTTGGCCACCTAGTAATAAGGCAATTAACCCAATCGCTCCGCTACAAACGGACCTGCTATATATTTGATTCGCATATTACTTAACACAGGCAATTAACCTAACCGCTTAACTACAAACGGACCCACTATATATCTGATTCGCATATTACTTAACACAGTTTGCGTTTTTCCCACTATCATCCACCGTGTTACTAAAATTTTAGTGCTATAAGCTAAATAAGAATGTTATAGTATAGGCACTTGTTCAATGTTTAGAGTAGATAACTGATTCCATCAGTATGTACTATCTTATTCTGTGTGATCATACATTTTTTGTCATATCTGATATATGTTTTGAGTCATATACGTTTTCTAAATATCCGATTTGTATCCGTGATCATAACTGTATTTGATTCTCTACTATCCGAACCGTATCCGTTTCCTTTTAGCGCGGATATCGTCTTGACTTTTTCTAACCGACGCATATCCGTATCCGTATTCGTTTTTAGAAAGCGGATATGGATATGGTAAGTGTCATATCCGAAATGTATCCGGACCGAATGCACCCCTACTTGTTACCCTAAGCCAGCTACCCTAATTTTTAGTTGGGTCACTATTGGTTGCACTTAGAAATCCAATTTCATTTAGTTAAGGGTTTTAAAGCTCTTCTGAATCTATTATCTTAACTTTAAACCAAAGTCCAACATATATCAATTAGCAGGATGTGCTGATTTTTACAGTTCTAACAGCGCATCGTTAATACGGGCTAGTAAAACTACCTCAACCACTACGTCACTCAACTTTTTCCCATACAATTGTGATGAGAAGGAAAACTCATAACAAGATGCAGTAACTATCGCCGAGTTGCAAAGTTATGATCTACATCACTCACATGTAGAACACATATTTTTTTGTGTGCAGGAAATTAATGTGACCAAAACAAACAGAAACTCAGTAATGTGATATTTGAAGAATTCAAGGATATATATACCATTGGCTTAACATGAATAGTTAATATATCAGATGATTAAGGGGTAATGGTGTTACCTTCAGAAATATGTCTGCCTCTAACACTGATAGTGAACACATAAGGTCCCTAACCTCGGGGAGTAAGGACTGCAATATCAGAAACAACTGTCATTACAATGAATAGTCACTAGCATCCATAGCAAAACTAAAAATAATAAAACATAAAGCTAGTTTAGAATGCAGCAAGGCAGTGCATTCAACAATCAACTCATTTGAATTATCACACAAGTGATATAAAAAAACTCCAGAAGATAACTTCATGCAACTTTCAGGACAAAAAGAAGTCTAGGAGTGATGCCAAACTGATAAGCAGTTTTACATCAAAGGTATCTGATATCAGGATATTTTCATCTTACCTGAGTAGAGTTGCTGTTAAACTAAGGGGCCACCTCATCACAGAACTGATGATAAACCAAACACACATATTGACTTATAATACAAGGAATGCACTTTTATCATTTGTAACCCTATATAGGCAGGCAGGGAAAATACACATTTATTTGTAACAAAAAGAATGTACTCCATTGCACTCCATCCTATTAAACATGCTCTAGTCATAATATGCAAACAAGCAACCAAATAACAATTAAGGGGGAAGAAAGGACCAGATGAGCTTCATAACAACTTGTACATTATTTGGTAATTAAAAGGATGCTAAGAAGCTGAAGCTCATGGATCCAAGGGACAGGTTTCAAATCTGCTATTGTGACTTACTGAGGCAATTTAACTTTTTGGTCATAGAAGAAGAAGGCAAAGAGCAAACAATAATAAATAAATAAAAGCAAAAGAAAACAAGATTTTGGTATAGACAATATTCCACATTCTAAACAAACATTAAATGTAATTCATAGGCATTCTCACCAGCTCCAATTAAGTGATTACCTATCTCAAGATTCTCAACTAACCAAAAGACTTTCAGCAAATCAATTTTCAGGTTTCTCATAATTTGTGGAGTAGCGCTCCAACATTTTATTGAAACAAAGGAGGGAATACCAGCCTCAAGTGTTAGCTGGATTTATGTTGGCTTGATGGTATTAAATAGAATAGGTGATGGTATTAAATAGAATAGGGTGTTTCAAGAAAAAAATTAATCACCCGAGAAAAAAACTTGGATTTTTACAGTTGGCCAACCAAATGCCTTAGGCTGAGGGATTTCCTTCAGTATTCGTACCATACTCTTCGTCACCATTATTTCCGTTGACAAGGACGTCACCGTCTGTAGACTCATTAGCGACCACTTCAACAGCTTCTTGGCCATCCTCTTCTCCTATTTCATCTGACACCTGAAAGCATGCCTTAGTCATGGCTAATGTCAAAGCAGTAAATGTAATATTTACAAGAGCACGTAGGCCAGTAGAAACACAAATAAAAATAACTCAGAAATGTTAAAATAAATGTCAAAAGATTTTCATAACATAGTCAAAATTATGACAGCAATCCAGCTTCAGTGAAATTTTTGATATAAAGAATTAGTATAAGAAGACATACCGTCCCAAAAATCTTAATATAAAAGTTTATATATTAAGTAGAATTTTAGAAATCATGGAGAAAACAAACTATCGTAAGTCATATCAATACCTCATGACCCAAATCTCCATTTTCAAGAGGGAAGCCTGCTTCATCCACTTGCATATTTTTGAATGCTTCCACAAGATTCACATTTAACTTTTCAGCGTGTATCGGGTATTCCTCAGCAGGCAGATAGCTACCTCTGTGGTAACAAAAAATGGAGTCAACACATAATTCCTCAAATACAATTAGCTTTCCAACTGTTAACCTCTGTGGAGTATCTACCTGGTGTAAGGTTTTGAACATAATTGACTGAAATTTTGGTTATGATGGGAACATGATCTATAAGTGCAATCTGCTGCTTAACTTAGTCATACTGTAATATTGGCACATATTGCCTATAAATACAAAATACAGGGAACTTAGATTAATATTTGTTCCTTACACTACATCCACTAAAAATGGCATGTTTTAGTACCGCTCAAATGATATTGCTTGTAAACACAAATGGTATAACCATGTACGCTGCACAAATAGCTATTGAGTGGCATCAATTAGCAATATGGTGCTAAAAAACAAGCAGTAGTAACTAAAAAACTTCACAATGACAACTGATGCCATCAATTAGCAATATGGTGCTAAAAAACAAGCAGTAGTAACTAAAAAACTTCACAATGACAACTGATGCTCATAAGCTATAACATTTAAGTAGTTTACAAGCAGTAGTAACTAAAAAACTTCACAATGACAACTGATGCTCATAAGCTATAACATTTAAGTAGTTTCCCATAAATGCTCCAACTTAAAATTGACTGAGAAAAAGATGAAAATTTTAAGTTGAAAGCTATCAACATATGAGAAACAACATTAGAAAAAATTTATGAAGGAAGATGAAGAATTTGTAATGAGCACCTGTTTTGGGTGGTATTAGACTCTACAGCAAGAGCAACCTGCCAGTCCTCAAATAAGTTTGAGTATTCTTCAGGATCAGCCAAGGACTCTGCAGCCTTTGGATTGACCTTTGCACAAAACCAATATAAGAACAAATTCTTCAGGATCAGCCAAGGACTCTGCAGCCTTTGGATTGACCTTTGCACAAAACCAATATAAGAACAAATCAAGAGTAAGTTATAAAAGCTAATTAAGCCTTTGGATTGACCTTTGCACAAAACCAATATAAGAACAAATCAAGAGTAAGTTATAAAAGCTAATTAAATAAAAGAAAAACCTACAAACTAAAGCAGATTCTGACCACTAAGAAGCAACAAAAATGATCTTTCATCTTTCCTTAAGTTTAAATGCGTTTAAAATGCTATTATAAATGCAGTTAAGAGATAACATGGCTGAACCTTAATGAGATCTTTCTTCCAAATTGCAACGATCTCTGAGACTTTGCTTGGAAGATAAGAACGCGCCATCAAGGCAGCTTCTGGAATACGGTTGCTACAAAGGGAAAAATGTTACCAGTGACACTTAAAGTGGCATGAATCGAAATTATACACTTAGACTAAAAGGTTCAACTATTAAAAAATGTACCTATCAACCAACAATTGAAGGCAGTCCTCCAATTTTCCTAACAAAAATAAACAAAGGAAAGCCACATTGTTCTTCCCTTGTTCTTTAGCAAGAGATGCAAGTTTAGCAATTCCTTCGGCATCACCGAGAGCAGAATAAATAAGTAACAAACCACTCAGATCCATTGCTTGTGATAAGCATTCCTCAGCCATATCTAACTGCAGAGACATGAACAACTCAAATAAATAACTGAGTCTATTTGTCTTTCATCAGAATAATTATGCACATAAAAGGTGGAATCAGACTATAATCAACAATACAGAATAAATTTTTAAAAATGCATTAAAAATCAGTACCAGACTTGTTCTAAGATTTAGCATACCCTAACTTTTTCTTTTCTTTTCTTGTTGGAATGTCTCGTAGAACTCTATAGACACATAGTTAATCAACAAGTTTATAAAAAATCGACAGTAAAAGATTAGGACAGATCATATGTTAATCCAACTGAAAATCCAAATTTCAACATTGCAAAAGTAGCTCTATTTGAATATTACTTTCACTAACAAAAGTGACCTCTTTTGTTAATAATGCAAAGTACTAAATTGGTATTTATTAAAGGGTTTCCACCTATATACCCCTCAAATCCATGGTATTCTGAATATTACCCGCAAATCTTCATAATTGCCAGTTTACTCAAAATCATCCCAAACTTATTAGTTTACCTCTCAGCTTAACTTACTAGATCTCGTCCTACTTTATTGTCATTTTCTACCTCCCTAAATCCGAATATATATTTAAGAAATAAAAGGAGAGGTGTGGCTGCCTGGTGATGAATGGCCACCAACCCTCACAGCCATCTCTTTCTCTCAACTCCCCTCTCTGTTTCTCACTTGGCAGAGAGACTAATTAGCGTGTTATTTAAGTATGCTGGGGGTAATTTAGTTGTACTTAGAAAAAAAAACAGAATATAAAGCCATATACAAAGTAAATTTCCTATTTAAGAATTTGAGTGATAACTTAATGGTCTAATGCAAACTCGTGAGAAGATAGGCCAATACAAAAAATTGGGGAATAAATTTAAGAATATCATATATTTCAGGGGTATATGGGTGGAAAACCTAAACATTGAAGCATGACTCTCGGTAAGCGAGTGACTGAGGGTGAGTGTTGGCTTCTGTGCAAGAAACAGAAGACCATTATAAGTTTAGCAGAAAGAAATGGGATGGGGTGGGAGGGCCTTCAGCTTTAGCAAAAATAAAAGGTAATCCTCACCTTTCCTGTGGACATTGCAAGCTTCCCTAGCTGCTTCCATTTTGATTCGCTTTGGACCTCCACAGCTATCTCCTGCAAAAGCAAACTTTTATCAAATGGAGAACATTGTCTGAAAAACTTGATCAAATATTTAAATGATATAAGAAAGCTATCAAATGTTAGATAGCCACTGTATCAATTTGGATAAAATACCTTAGCTATATCCAATCGCTCAAGCTGTACAGCAAGATCAAATTTGTAATTAGGATCCGTCGCCACTTTCAAAGCATCATCGGGCATGCCTCGAGATTCTAAGAAACGGGCCACACTGGAAATATACATTATCAATATAATGGGTTTGCAATAATTTTATGCCACTAAGCTGTCCAGAGCCATTTTAAGGAGGTATAATTTTTGAGATTTATTCTTGAAAAATACCATCAAATTTAATGAATTAACATGCAACGGAATAGGCCTTAAAGCCTTAGATTTCCTGACTTTACGTGGAAAAAAAATCAACACTTGCATTACAGTCAAAAGCTTGTATTCATCAAAAACCCACAAAGAAAATTTAATATGTTAAAACATGGATCAGGGGATGAGATTGGATATGAGTTTAACATTACGTCCTATGTACAACAAGATCATTAAGATAAAGGAAATTAGATGACATAAAATGCAGAATTGGAAAGTACCTGTTGTGATGCTCCTTAGGAATTGACTGTAAAACATCACTTGCACGATCCAGATCCCCACGCATCACTAGAGTTTTATACTCAATCAAACTAAGTAGTAAAGTGTAACCCATAACACTGCAGTGGAAAAATCATTATTAGCCCCTAATATGTGAGAACAGGGGATTCCCAGCGAAAAAAAAGCTCCCTTGTGCACTCACTTGAACTCCTTGTCAATGAGATACACCCTGCTCTGACTAGCAAGATATCCCAACAAGTACATTGGCCGGTCCAGGTGGAACATGGTGGTAACCTACAATAAAGAGTAGGAACTCACATCATAAAACTCCAGCAAGAAACTTATGTGACCGATTGTAATGCAACATTTCTAGCACTGTAAATACATCAAGGTATACCTCTCCACCGACACAATAATTCAGTCTCCCGGAAGCGTTATTGTAAATGAAACAGTCCCCAACCCAGATTCCAGTTCGCACACGCTCATTTATTTCATGAAGCATTTCAAAAGCATCCTCAACACCTTGTTCATCACCTGAGTTTCCACTTTCTAGATAAGAAGAAACAATGTCACCCTGTAATAATTTCATGTCTTTTAGTCTCATTTTATAAGTCAACGTTAAAACCTTAGTATAAGCAGAAGCAATTTTCGAAAACAGGATTAATGTCAG